TAAGAGTAGTATCATCATTTTAATTTTCACATTCTTACTTTCCTCTGTAACATATATTACTTCTAACACTCCTCTTTCCTGCTTTACATGCAATGGAACTAACGACACTGTTTGGTTTTTAAGCATGTTTGAGTCTTCCTACTATATTCCAAACACCTGTTAGTAAGTACTAATAAGTCCAGTTATTGGTTTATCAAACACTTTTGTTCTTCAGATTTACTTTCAAATACTAAATTCATGTACAAATAACCTAGTTTACATCGAAACAGAGGTTACTAAAAGTAGCATTCAGAGTCTTTTCCATGTTATCAAAATGTTACTCACTTTTAGCGGCGGAAAATGCTACATGTATTCTTTTTATTTTTCTTTACTATCTATTCAACAGTTAATAAAAGACTAATATTTTTGTTTTTTTATTCAATGTTTCTTATAAATAAAAATATTATTCTATTAGTGTTGAGTGGTTGTAGAAATAAAAAATAAAATATATTGCTTTTTTTTTTATAGATTTGAGATAAATTGAATGATGAATTTGAGAGGACAGATAGAAAATTGTATGTTTTTAAATGATACATAGATAAAAGTTAAATAATTTAAAGATAAAGTTTGTAAATGATTTTATGAATATGATAGTAAAATAAAATATTTTAATAGATAAAATTTTTAGATTACAATTTTATTCTATAGTTAAAATAATAAAATATTTTATTATCAATATTATTATCACTAATATTATTTTTATTTTTATAATGATTATTATTGATTAATAATGATAATAATAATACTTATTATCATTATTAATTATTAACAGTAATTATAAGTATTGATTTTTTTAATATTTTTTATTTCACAATTAATATTATTTCTATTTATGATCATATTATTATTTTATATTATTATTAAATTAATTATTATTAGTAAGATTATTATTAATAACTATTAACTATTATTAATAATAATAATTATTATTATTATTATGAAAACGCATGTCTATTATTTTTTTATGATAATAAAAAATAATGAAATTATAATTAAAAATATATAAATAACTTTTATATTTTAATCATAGATAATTTTTATTCAATTTAAAAAATTATTAAATCAAAAAGTTAAATTTTAAAAAAGTAAGAGTAAAATTAAAAATAATATGGGAAAAAAAATTAATCTTCTTTGTATAATAATATAGATTATTATTAAAGTTTAAATAATGTCTATTTTACAATTAATATTATTATTATAATTGATAGTAACACATCATAACATACTAGTGCAATTACATTAATCATGAGAAAAAAATGGAAAATTTTATTGAAAAAATCTATGAATTCTTCTGTTTGTTCCTTAAGTTGGTTAACATTTACATTCACATGGTGGAAACTTCTCTTCATATTTAGGGTCAAATTTGATAAATCATATTTTGCACATTTACTTTCACAACTTTCATCCCATGCATTTGTATGGCTTGTACACTCCACTAAATTTGTGAAAGAATTTATGCTTGTGACTACATGGAACCTTCGTACATAAGACATTCATCCTCGTATACATGTCCATGTTGCCTACATAGTTGATATTGATCATATTAAGTTTTTAACAATTTTGTAGAAAAATAGTGTGTCGATCCTATAGTAGTGTGTATTGAAAGAAATATCAACTCTATAATATTGCATGATGCAAGTGATTAGAATACGGTAAGGAAGTGATATCTTATTCGTCATGCATTTAAGCATGTGTTGCATAATATGATGTGACCAATCAATCAATATGATAGAATATAATTGCATGATATGATGCATTGATCTAAGGACATTTACCCATACATGAGTTCCATTAAGACTCCTAAACAATCCTATTTCATAAAAAATAGTAGTGTAAAGCAAAATCGTGTGGTTCTTACATCTTCTAAACATATAGTATAATTGATGATATTGTTACCTTAAAGTATGGATAAACTTGACTATTCTTTAGGATATATAGATCAATCTCCGTCCATGATGACTGAACTAAAAACTCTTACTCCAACATTAAAACTGTGTTCATCATATTGTGAAAATGTCAACTAACACTTTGTATGGATCGATGAAAAAAAAGTATACACTTTGAGTATTGATGTTATGTCTCATGATGTATAGAAATTTAACAACTTGTTCCTCTACTGTTGATCGAAATGCATCATTAATTAACATAAATACAATAGGCAAATTACTTTTTCAATTCAATAAATACAGGATTTATTATGTGATCCTAATATTTCATAACTATATAACCCCTAATATTCCATAATTCTGCATTCCAATTAAATTCGCACTCCAATTAAGTTCCCGTATCAAAATACAAACATAAACAAATATATAGTGTAATAAATTTGTGAGTCTTTGTCATTATAAGATGTTTAGCTTTCTCCTATCCATCAAATATAAAGTTTAAACTCATACTTGACTCTCTGATAATTATTTATTACCAAAGTATTATTATCACCATAAAATTCACATAAACTAAATTAAGATCTCAACATGACTCTTAATAGTTTTAAATATCTTAAAAATACTCAGAAAACTATTTTTATGCATTTAATATATTTTTACAAATTTATACATTTAATAGAGACACCTAGAAAGCATCTAACAAGGACTTTGAAGAAAAATCAAGAAACCACATTTCCTCTCTTTTTTCAATAGGATTAGCTTCGTGTATACATAATTTTTTTATATAACTTTAAAGATTTATTCCCGTACAAGTTCCATGAAATAAATTTGGGGTTCTAGTAAGTAAATCCATCTTTTGAACTCCATTAATATATTTTTTGTGATGCATTGACATTTAATATATTTCATAATCATATCTCATAAAATAAATTGTTTATCTTATTAAAATTGGTGTCTAAACCATAGATATATGACATATAAGACTTGATACAATAATATTTATTTTACTCCTTTCATTCTTAATTTTTTAAAATGCTTTGATTAGGAGTTTCACTTTCCTCTTTCCTTACTAATCCTTCCTAAAAAAACATAGTAGAGTGAAATAAATAAATTAATTAAAAATCACAATAATTACTTCATATCATAAAATGGAAATATGATACAACACACCCCCTTCACGCCGAGGTATAGACATCTCGTGCGTGATAGTAGAAATTGGGTGGTCCGATAACGGCCCAATAGCGGGTGAAATAGAAGAATAGAATATCCACTTAGAACTCGCTGGGACAGACTCCAACTATGACTCTGATACCACATTAGAAGGTGGGTTTTAAGCCTAACTCAACCCCACAAAATCGGCTTGTAAGGTGAGGTTTGCAAGAAATGGGAGACATTTCAAGAACCAAGAGTAACCTATTGCCCCCAACATGTTTTGGATGTGGTAAAACTGGTCACATCAAGCCTAATTGTCAAATCTTCAAGCTAAAACAAAAATTAAAGGAAAAGAGTGAAGCCATAAGCTCAAGAAGAAAAATAATGCTTACATGTTCTAGGAGGACATGACTTTGAAGAAGAGACAATTTTTTGTCTAATGATTGATGCAGAATCAGAATCTTCTAAGAGCATTGTAAAGCTCTAAAACTATTGATGAAAATAACTATTATTAATTGCTTGATGTATTCAATGAATGAGAAAGCTAGAAAATTGTAATATTCAAATATTAGATATAAAGAGGAAAACAAATGATTGGATCATATATTAAAATAACTGGAGGATGAAATAAAAATTTGAAAACTAACTTAGAAGTTTTAGAAAAACTTCATAAAAACTGTCTTTAATTGTAAGAAAAGTGCACTTAGTTATGGGAATTTCCCAAAATAAATAGAAAGAATTAAGTGGTTGAAAAAATGTGAAACCTGACAATTTTAATGGATTAAATTACTTACATAATCGAGTAATCCTAATTGATTAATCTAGCAAGTTTAAAAAAATATGGCTAATGCATACTTTTTCTTTTACATCTTGTATCTTTCATTTTAACACTTTGAAATTCTAAAATAAATAGAACGTTTTTGAGAGAGTTTTGAGCATTTCATCTTTGCAGAAAATATTTTTATTGAAAAAGATTAGTGGAGTTTTCTTAACTATAAGTTTTGATTGTAATATCTTTATCTTTCATTCTGTATTGTATTTCACCTTTGTGTAAAAGGTTATGGTGATTGTGTGAAGCATCATTTAATTTTTTTGTTTCTTAAATAAAACTTCAAGGTTTTGTTTAGATCTTACTTTTAGATTATGTAAATGTACTTATAATCTAAATTTTTTATTTTAGTGAAATTTTTACCTAAAGCTGATAAAAAAACTAGATATAAATTTGTTAAAATCAAAGTGTAAAAATCTTTATGATATACTCTTTTTTTTATAACAAATTTCCTTTTAGTCTTTTTTTTTATTAATTTGAATCATAATAATCCATCTCATAATAATCTTGTTAATTAATTAAAATAGAATTTTCAAAATTATTTTAAAACATCAAAAGAAACCAGTGGAAAAGAAACAATTCACTCTCTCTTAGCTGTTCCTATTTTCACAAAAAAAGCTTCAGAGAAAATCAACAAGACTTCATTGAGTTTAAGAAAGGTCAACTAAAACAACCAAACACAGTGTATTGGACCGAGTCCGCTATAAAACTCAGATCTCAGTCAGACAAAAGAGTCAGATTTTTAAAACAATATTGAAGGCCATGCTTTAAATGCTTTCAATATTTTTCAATTAAGAAGAAAACCTCATTTGCCAACACCGAAAAAAAGTCAAACTACCATCAAATCTTGATTTCAGTAGATATTTACACCAAAATAATACAAAGCTACAGTTAAACTTTATCATTTCATTTAAAGAGCTTTAAGATGGAGCATATATCTGCACCAGGAACGTTGAAACTCTACAATCATTTTATATCACTCTTTCCTATATGCTTGTCCAACTTTTGGAGAACCATAATGATTTTTAGACGTGATTGATTGAAAACATAAAGAGTAGGAGTGATCATCGAAATGAGAGGAGAAAAAGGAAAGGTAAAGTTTGAAGAAAAACTATACTCCTTGAAAGGGGAAAGAAAGTAAATAACCATACATGACTAAAAGAGTGAGAAGGAAAAAAGCTGTCCTCGTCTACACAAGAACAGGTCTCCACATGGCATGATTTTGTACAGTCACGTCAACTTATAAACTACCTCACCATCTTATAATCTTTACACCATAAAAAGGCTTGTATAGTCATAATTTCATTTTATCTCCTCTGCAGGGGCCTCAGGTCATGAGCCTCGTCTCACCTTAAATTCTTTGTATAGACTTAAAGCTACAAAATGTACAGTTCTGCAGTACAACCGACAACTTTATTTCCAACTGGCTACAACCCATCTTCATAGATAGGAACCATAACCTCTTCATTTGGAAAAAGGAACAAGAACAAGAAGCAGCAACAGCAGCTCACACTAGCCTCAGTTAGCTGTACAATATTAATTTTCTAAGCCACCTAAGCAGGTTGGGGAGACTGAGCTGCAATTCTCCTTTCTGCAACAAATTATACACGTAACCTTTCATAAACTATCTAACATTTTGGATGAAACGTAAAATACAAATACACGAAGGAATCACATGGTACCTCCAGCAGCAACAAGTTTCTCTACACGTGCAACGATGTGCTTCCCATAGGTGTACTTCTTCAATGCATTTAAATGAACCTTAATTCGTGAAAGAATCAGTTCGCGCTGCTGATCATCACACGTTTCCAGCACCTTTTGTACAACGTAATTTGCAAACTGATCTTTCATCATGGCCTGTACATAGAACAATATCATTACAATTTTACTGAAAGAATTATTGAGCAGATATAAACTGCATTGTCCCAGAATAGAAGCAGTTATGTGACTTAAGTTCAAGACTGGAAATGTGAAAACTTTTCTGTTCGATCACATTAAGGAGACGTTGGATAGAAAAAAAGGTCTACAGATGTCGTTAGCCGAGTTCATGCAATTGCATTAGAAATCATGAAAATAATTTCTGATCACTTATCATGGTATTGAACCTAAAAGTAGCATTGCCTTGTAATTATGCATCAAATAGTGGTAGAGGCATATATAAGAAAGAGAAAGTTCAACAAACCTGAAGAGGCTCATTTTCATCTGTGGAGCCAAGCATCTCGTGTACTAGTAATTGGCGCTCAGAAGGACCTCCAAAGGTCAAACATTTCTCCACAACATTGGACGCAAACTTCTGTTGACTCATCTGAACAATCTTGCCTGCTAATTCCTTTATTATAGAAGAACGCTCATGAGGCTTCCCATGCTCCAGAACATGCTGTTTTCAGGGAGGGAAGAAATCATAAGCAAGAAATCAACCCACATACATGCTAAACAGTTACACTAGAGACGAAGTATTATGGACAAAAATCCTCTATCACATGTGAAAAAGAACCAATCTTGACGGCATTTCAGAAACATAAATAAGCAGGGCAGGAAGCTATAAAATAAAGTCAGTTTCAAAAACAAAGAATTATAAGTGAAAACAATTGTCACTGATGTGTTATATGTGTTCGAGAAAAATACACATAAAATTAAGTTGAAAATCATAAACAAGAAAAAACAAAATGTTTCTGGTTAAAAAGGTTCATCGTTAAACCTATTGATCACAACACTGTAGGCAAAGTTAGGAAGCCTGACCAAGGAAATTACAATTTTTGGGACTACAGTCAAAGGTCATTACTATTTCTCTAAAATAAAAGTAAACTATCAGGCTTGAAGCCAAGGGTAAGAGCATGCTAAAGTAAACCAAACAATCATGAGAGCCATAAAAATACACTTCAAGTATCATGACAACAAGAAGCCCAAACTGTCTAAAAAGAAAAAAAGTATAAACCTGAACAACGTAGTTGCCATACTGGTCCTGAGCTAACATACTAACTGCCCCTAAAATTTCATCCATAACTTTCTGCTGTGTTGTAGGATCTTTGCAGTGCTCCAGTACTCTCTGTTGCATAAAAGGCATCTTATATGACAAATGATCTTAGATACAAACAAGAGTGACATAACCAGTGAAGAGGCCTAACCTGTATCACACGGCAACCATATGGATGGGTTGAGAGCGTAACGACTTGATCAAAAAAAGTTGAGACAATAAAATGGATTGCATCTTCAGGGACGCATTCAATACACTTCTGAATGACATGGTTACCATTCTGATCACGTACACAGCGCATGACATTACCATCAAGCTCTTGCACCATCTCTATCTTCTGATCCAGATCAACAACTTCGATGGCCTAAAGAGGGATCGTAATTCAACAAAAACAATTATAACACACTCGGAAAATTAGATAGACAAACATATACACATAGACTAAATGCCACCTTTCATTGTCCATACCTTCTGGATGACTCGGCAACCATACATTTGAAGGCTCAGTGTCAGAACATGCCCAAGAAGTTTGTTGGCCAATTCTCTTCTCTGGGCTGCAAGTCCATGCTCAAAAAACTGCAATATTCCATATGGTACTACACTTTTAGAATAAAAATAGAAAAATGCTTAAGAGATTGATTTCCCTCAGCCCATCCATGTATCTATATATGAGTTCTTACATCAGAGATACAGAGAAGCCAATCTGAAAAACGTTACACTTAGATGTCAAATAGACATCATAAAAACAGCTTTTGAATCAATTACAAACAATTCCTCAAAAAACATTCATCAAAGACAATAACAAATTAAAAGATTAACGATTACCTTTTGAACCACATAATTACCAAAGACATCAGTCATCAAAGCAAGGGCATGTGGCATGATTTCCTGATAAACCATGTTTTTTTCTTCAGTAGTAGCTGTTTCAAGCTTTTGTTGAATAAATCGGCTCCCATATTGATCAGCACTGTCAATGATAATAGAGCTATCAACATTATTATTTTCGGGATGGAAGCATAAGAATAAGATCAATAGGAAAAAAATACCTGAATTCCACAACGTGACCAGCAATTTCAGAAAGCTCAAAACACTTTGTTTTGTTGCTTTTAAACTCCTCCAACAGAGAAGAAGCAAAACTTTCATCAATGTTCCCAGTATCTACATGCCAAGGTCCCATTACCCCAGCTAAATTCCTCATTCCAGAAGCAAAACGCATATTCAGTTCATTGTGCCTAACAGGACTTCCAGGTCCTACTGGAGAAGTCGACACAACAGAGTTTGCCATTGGACTTCCTGGATAAGACAACCCAACACCATATGCAGGATTTCCATAATAACCATGAGGAGTGGAGCTTCCTGATTTACCACCCAGTGGTACATTGTATTGAGATTTCTGAGGTGAGAGAATAGACCCAAGATAAGCTTTCTGAAGCTCAAGTAAGTTCATGTATGAATTACCTAAGTAGGTCCTGTCGACAGAGGGGTCACTAAGAGCACCAAGTTGTGCTGCATACTCAGATGTTCTCAGGTACTGATAATACATGGGATCAACAAAAGGGGCCTGGAGAGCAGTGCCTGGAATTTGATTTCCCATCCTACCAAGATTGTGCACATCAGATGGAGCAGTAGCTCCAGAAGCCAAACCACTTCCAAGAATTCTCGTGTCCATTCCGGGGACTGCCATTGCCGATGCTGCAGCAACCGTTTCAAACAATGGAGGCAGATTACCAGTGCCCAGTTGATTAGTCATCAAGGATGCCAATGCTGGATTTCCAGCATATCCACTCATACCGTAGTTACTAAATGACGAATTTGTACCATCTAAAGGCTGGTACTGAGGAGGCAAACTACCTCCTCTACTAAAATGGGAGGTAGGTGATCCTTTGAAATATGAGTTATTGGAAGGAACATTAGACTTTTGTAGCTCAACCTGCCTGTCCAAGGATGCATTGTTAGGATTAGGATCAGATACGCTCCTGCTCTTACTTGAATTTTGAAAGTGAGCTGATTCAGATTTCTTTAAATAAGCATGTTGCTTCCCATGATCTTGACCTCCTTGCCTACCAAAAAGATATCTCCGGTGATTATCAACATCTGATTCAACCTGTGATGGCAAATGATTATCACCATCTAACATGTCATCTGCTGACAAATTCATCGCTGACAATGCTGCCATAAGATCTGATGACCCATTGATTCCAGATGAAACACCATCAAATCCATCTGGACTGGAAACACCTCTCTTGTCAGAAGCATTGGCTCTGCCACCACCAATAGGTGTGATGCAGGGACTGGGAGCCCTAGCAACGTGCTGTGGATCAGGAGTAGTGCTTCGCGATAAGGAAGACCCCACTGCAGCAGCATAAGAATATGAAGCTGGCAGACCAGTATTTTGGGAAGCAGATGATCCTTGAACATTCGTTCCTGGCCTTGGTGCATCTGTGGTCGTAGACTCCCGGCGTACGTGAGGCAACTCCGCTTCAGCAGAACTAATGATATCATTGTCATCAAATGCATTACGACTGGCTGGACGAGAAGGAGGGCCCGTAACAGAGGTATTACGTACCAAATCATCCTGCACAGTTACTCTTTTTAAATGACGAGCAGAAGAAAAAAGGATATGAAAATAAAGAAACCCAAGAAAGGGATCATAGAAAATATAATTTAAATTCAATACAGAAATGTCAACAATTGATATTAGCCAGAGAAACAAATATTATTACACAAACTTTTAAAATGCCAAGAAATACAAATAATTATCAGCATATACAAAATAATCAAAGTTATAGCAAAAATCACAGACTACGAGATGAAAATCAACACAAGTCATGTAAATACTCTGGGTACGGGCAGAAGAAAGAAGCATATGAAAATAAAGAAATCCAAGAAAGTGGTCAAAACAAATATAATATGAATTCAATACAGAAATGTCAAGAATTGATATTACCAAGAAAAACAAAAGCTATGACACAAAAACTCTTTAAATGCAAAGGCATGCAAATAATTATCTGAATATAAGATAAATTCAAAGTTATAGCAAAAAAATTCAAAATGCAAGATCAAAATCAACACGAGTCACTAAATACTCTGCATCATATAACGATCTATCAAAATTAATGGGTGTAAGTCAAGCTTGAGCACGAAACTGTAACTGTCAGAGAAAAGAAGGGCTCATAGAACAAAGTTTAGCAACAAAGACTTTCCACAAATTTGGTTGTAACAAAAACAGATATAGGTAATGCAGTTACATAATCTGTTAGCTGCACTAACAGGCTGATGATGAATCCTTTGCAACTGAAAATCTGACTGTCACTTTGATTAAAATCTATTTTAATATATTTTATAGAATTTTAATGGTAATGATGTCATCATGTGATAAACTGGCTGGAGACTGTAAGGTATGTCAACACCGAACATGCTACAGTTGACAATATAGTACTACAGTTTACAGTACAGAGATACACAGTCTATGCAATACAGCATGCCTTATGACATACATGTCCACAGCTGAACATTAGAAAACTAAACACAAATGTGGTTCAAGAGGCTATAATGTGCCTAAAAAATGTATTGGTGAAAGCAACAAGTCAACCAGATGTGGCTAAACAATCAGTTCAAATAATTAGAACCAGTATACAACTAAAAGGATAACAATGATAAAGGATTGTCAGAACTCTGAAATATTTTTTTTTATGAATTCACAGTGTTATGCCGTCATCTTCCATCACAATAAGCACTATAAATAATGAAATAGGAACTAAAATCCAAAGACCGGAGCATGTCATCATTTAGCATTCCCTTCATCAAACTTGGCTTCCCTCAAAAATTACAATCATTAATCAGAACTTGTAAACAATACCACACATCAGAATATAAAAATTTATACTCAGCATAAAATAAACTATCAGAGATTATACCTAACCTCACAACAAGGCATCAATTAATCACATGTCAAAGATGATAACTCAAAATACCAAAATTACAAAATCCAGAAAATAGAAACAGATGCAACACGGAATCAATTAGTCAACCAATGGCAGAAGAAGCAAGCCACCTGGAAAATTTCTGCAAAACTCTTTTGTTTGCTCAGCCCTATTCCAGGCAAACCAATGAGTCCATCACCACCCCACTCTGCAGTACCTCTTGTTTTTTCATTATCCACTTCACTCTCTTGTTTCCTCATGTTAAAACCCGGGGGTGTAGAAAAGAAGGATCTACCACCAGTATCGTCAGCCCTGTTCACTTTCCTCCTATCTCCGATTCCACCCACAACTGACGAACCACCTTTAAGTCTTTGTTGAAACCTCCAATCCTCCTTTGACAGCAAAGGAGGTGGCAGCCTAGGATTCAAATTCACATTGGAGTAATAGTATGTAAGATAAGCTGGATCAGACCTTAGTTCTTCCTCGGAAACAATCCCATTCACATCCTTGGCCCCATGAAACTCCGAAAAGGCACCAGCACCACCAGCAGCACCGGCAACACCAGCACCACCAAACAACCCTCCCACAGCACTTAAAGAACCCTCCACGGTTGGAGGCGCTGATCCACTCCTAAATATATTAAGCTCTCTCTCACGATCATCAGCCTCTTGTCGGCGTTGCTCACGAAGCAACATCCCTATCTCCTTCTCCAGGTCATCTCCAAACGAACCCTCGTTACTACCCAGCATCGGTCTTCTTTCCAATTCAGACAACATTTTTCAAAGTCCCAACATGATCACCAACCTCATCGCACAGCTAAACTATAACACAACCCACCACCAGAAATCAAACCCTAACTTAAGAAAACCCAAAAACTCACACGTTCTCCACCGCATACCGTAAGCCGCCACGCTCCATATTAACAACTTCACACAATTATAACTGTCAGTTACTGGGAAGAAATGGGAAAAAGAAAAAAAATCAAGCTTTCTGTTAAAACTGCACCGAAAGCTGAAACCCAATAATCAAACACAAAAACAGACTGCAAAATTCACTCTATGTTCTCCGTAACTAGTTTCCATAATTATAGACAAGAAATTCCTAAAGGAACATGTTTCCCCAGTGGATAGTATATACAGAAAAGATAAAAGAAAGGTGTGAAAGAACAGGAGAGAATAGATAAGAAGTAGTGGGAAATGGTCCAGTGAGATCAAGAGAGGAAACAGCGAGAGAAATCAATCCGGCGGCTATTGGTTCTTACAAGAACCCTTAGGGTTTTGTTCCATTTAGAGGAGGATTAAATACAGTTGATGATAGGAGCAAAGCAAAGCCAAACCAAACTAAATATTTCTATTTTTTGCTTTTTTGCTTTTGTATTTTAAGTTATAAAGTTTCCATTTATTTGTGAATCTGAGAAATATCCAGAATATAATTTATGTATTTCCTAAACATTAGGGGTAATTGACCAAGTGATAACCGACTAATGCCATTGCCAAAAGAAAGAGAAATGGTGTTTATTTGTTTTTTGCTCCTGTTCCCATACCAGAAGCTTTCACACACTGACACGTTAGTGTATTAGATTCTCTGCATCAGTAAAATATAGCCCAAAATACAGTAAATTTCGAACCACTTACCCCTATTTCTTCACTTCAGTTAAACTCTTTCAATATGTGTTATTAAGAGTAGTATCATCATTTTAATTTTCACATTCTTACTTTCCTCTGTAACATATATTACTTCTAACACTCCTCTTTCCTGCTTTACATGCAATGGAACTAACGACACTGTTTGGTTTTTAAGCATGTTTGAGTCTTCCTACTATATTCCAAACACCTGTTAGTAAGTACTAATAAGTCCAGTTATTGGTTTATCAAACACTTTTGTTCTTCAGATTTACTTTCAAATACTAAATTCATGTACAAATAANACAACAGAGTTTGCCATTGGACTTCCTGGATAAGACAACCCAACACCATATGCAGGATTTCCATAATAACCATGAGGAGTGGAGCTTCCTGATTTACCACCCAGTGGTACATTGTATTGAGATTTCTGAGGTGAGAGAATAGACCCAAGATAAGCTTTCTGAAGCTCAAGTAAGTTCATGTATGAATTACCTAAGTAGGTCCTGTCGACAGAGGGGTCACTAAGAGCACCAAGTTGTGCTGCATACTCAGATGTTCTCAGGTACTGATGATACATGGGATCAACAAAAGGGGCCTGGAGAGCAGTGCCTGGAATTTGATTTCCCATCCTACCAAGATTGTGCACATCAGATGGAGCAGTAGCTCCAGAAGCCAAACCACTTCCAAGAATTCTTGAGTCCATTCCAGGGGATGCCATTGCTGATGCTGCAGCAACCGTTTCAAACAATGGAGGCAGATTACCAGTGCCCAGTTGATTAGTCATCAAGGATGCCAATGCTGGATTTCCAGCATATCCACTCATACCATAGTTACTAAATGACGAATTTGTACCATCTAAAGGCTGGTACTGAGTAGGTAAACTACCTCCTCTACTAAAATGGGAGGTAGGTGATCCTTTGAAATATGAGTTATTAGAAGGAATATTAGACTTTTGTAGCTCAACCTGCCTGTCCAAGGATGTATTTTTAGGTTCAGATCCGCTCCTGCTCTTACTTGAATTTTGCAAGTGAGCTAATTCAGATTTATTTAAATAAGCATGTTGCTTTCCATGATCTTGACCACCTTGCCTACCAAAAAGATATCTCCGGTGATTATCAACTTCTGATTCAACCTGCGATGGCAAATGATTATCACCATCTAACATGTCATCTGCTGACAAATTCATCACTGACAATGCTGCCATAAGATCTGATGACCCGTTGATTCCAGATGAAACACCATCAAATCCATCTGGACTGGAAACACCTCTCTTATCAGAAGCAATGGCTCTGCCACCACCAATAGGTGTGATGCAGGGACTGGGAGCCCTAGCAACATGCTGTGGATCAGGAGTAGTGCTTCTCGACAAGGAAGACCCCACTGCAGCAGCATAAGAATATGAAGCTGGCAGACCAGTATTTTGGGAAGCAGATGATCCTTGCACATTCGTTCCTGGCCTTGGTGCATCTATGGTCGTAGACTCACGGCGTAAATGAGCCAACTCTGCTTCAGCAGAACTAATGATATCATTGTCATCAAATGCATTACGGCTGGCTGGACGAGAAGGAGGGCCCGTGACAGAGGTATTACCCCCCAAATCATCCTGCACAATAACTGTTTGTAAATGACGAGCAGAAGAAAAATATATATGAAAATAAAGAAACCCAAGAAAGATATCATAGAAAAAATATGCTAAATTCACATCAGAAATGTCAACAATTGCTACAAAATACTTTCAAAATACAAAGGCAAACAAATAATGATTTAGATGTACTTTATGTAGATCAAGCAAAAAACATAGACTGCAAGATTGAAATCAACATGTATTCCACTTCAATACTGTGATATATCACATCGATCAAAAGTACAGGGTGCAAAGCCAATTCAATCTCCAATTGTTAAAAATCTATAGCAATTATGTAAAATATTGTAACTAGTGGAGAAACATAACCCAATACTGAGAGAATGACAGAGAAAAGGAAGGACACCGAGAGAAAATTTAGCCAGGAAGAGTATCTAAAAATTCTGAACATAAAATGAATGGCACACTGTATTCTGAGTATGTAAAGTGAATAGCATAGAAGAGACTGTTGTAACTGAATTACTTCAGTTTAATATATTATATTATAATTTGGTTATAACAGACATGTAGATTATATTTCCTAAAATAACTTAAACTTTAATTCCCATAATGCTATCCAATGATAAATTGAACGGAGACTGGAAGGTACCTGAACCACAAACATGCTAAAATTTACAAATAGTACTACAGTAAGAGTACTGATATGCACTATGTATGCAGTATTACAAAAACTAAAACACAAATTTGTTTCGAATACGTGCCTAAAAGATTTTACGATGAATGTAACAAATCAATTAGATGTAGCAAAACAATCAGTATAAAAATTTAGAGCCAGTATGAAACACAGGATAACTACTACAGGACAATCCTTAAGGATTGACAGAAGTGTATGAAAATAGAAAATAAAAAACTCTGATGAATTCACTGTGTTAAGCTGCCGCCTTCCCATCACAAAAAAGCACTATAAACAACGAATTAGAATCCAAAACTCAAACAGATTCATGACATCATTTAGCATAATTGATCAATACTTCACTTTCCTCAAGAATAACATGAATTAATCAAAACGTTTGAACAATACCACACATCAGAACATGAAAAACACACTTAAAATAAACGACCAAAGATCAGACCCGACCTCACAACATTAGCATAAATTGATCATATTGTCACGGATGAAAGTGAAAATACAAAATGCCAAACCACACAATCCAGGAAAAATAGAAATAGATGCAGCGTGGAGTCAATCAATGGCAGAAGAGGCAATCCACCTGGAAAATTTCTGCAAAGCTCTTTTGTTTGCTCAGCCCTAGTCCAGGCAAACCAATTAGTCCGTCACCACCCCACTCGGCAGTACCTCTTGTTTTTTCATTGTCCACCTCACTCTCTTGTTTCCTCATGTTAAAACCCGGTGGGGTAGAAAACATCGACCTACCACCATTTTCTTCAGTCCTGTTCACTTTCCTTCTATCTCCTATTCCACCAAGAACTGAAGCTCCACCTTTAAGTCTCTGCTGAAACCTCCAATCCTCCTTTGACATCAAAGGAGGTGGCAGCCTAGGATTCAAATTCACATTGGAGTAATAGTATGTAAGATAAGCTGGATCAGACCTAAGCTCTTCCTCAGAAACAATCCCATTAACATCTCTAGTCCCTTGAAACTCAGAAAAGGCACCACTAGCACCAGCAGCGCCACCGCCACCACCAAACAACCCTCCAACAGCACTCAAAGAACCCTCCACAGTTGGAGGCGCTGATCCACTCCTAAAGATATTAAGCTCTCTCTCACGATCATCAGCCTCTTGTCTGCGTTGCTCACGAAGCAACATCCCTATCTCCTTCTCCAGTTCATCTCCAAAAGAACCCTCGTTACTCCCAATCATCGGTCTTCTTTCAAATTCAGACAGCATTTTTCAAAATCCCAATTTGATCACCACTCTCCAATCACCAACCTCATACAGTTAAACCATATCACTACCCACCAGCAGAAATTAAACCCTAACCCGACAAACCCAAAAACTCAACCTTTTCCACCATAAAACGTAAACCTCCACGCCCCATGTTAACAACTTCACAAAAATATAACTGGCAGTTACTGGAAGAAAAAAAAAAATCAAGCTTTCCTCATCGAAGCGATTTCTGAAGCTGAAACAAAACCACCCAAGAATCAAACACAAAACAAGACAGCAAAATTCACTCTATGTTTCCCATAATTAGTTCCCATAATTATAGACAGGAAATTCCTAGGAAGACATGTTTTCTGAGGGATAATATATACAGAAGAATAAAATGAAGGTGGGAAAAACAGGGGGAGAAGGGAGAGAAGGGAGTGAGAAAATGGTGCAGTGAGATCAAAAAAAGAAAACAGTGACAGAGATCAATCCAGCGGCGATTGGTTCTTACAAGAACCCTTAGGGTTTTGTTCCATTTAGAGGCAGATTAAATACAGATGAAGGTAGGAAGCAAACCAAGCTAAACATATTTGGTTTCTACTTTTTTTTTAGCTTATGTTTTTATCTGTGAATCTGAGAAATATCCAAAATATATTTTATGTATTTCCTAAACATTAGGGGTAATTGACCAAGTGATAACCGACTGATGTCATTACAAAGAAAGAGAATTGGAGTTTATTTTCCTTTTTTTGCTGCACTTCCCAAACCAGAAGCTGTCAATGACTGACACGTTATTGTATTAGATTCGCTACATAGTAAAATATAGCCCAAAGTACAGTAAATTTCGCACCACTTACCTTTCTCTCTCTTCAGTTCAGTTAAACTCTTCTTCTATGTCTCTTATTATGAGTAAGAATCATCATTTTAATTTTTGCATTGTTTCTTTTCTCCACTACACAACACACACAGTACTACTTCTTCCAGTTATTGTTAGTTTCTTAGTGGCTCTTGTTATATTCTATTTACTTTTTATTATGATGTACAAATACTGTATCCTGAAATTTAGTGTACATTGTAACAGATTTCCTTAATAGTAGTTTACTTACAACGTTGCTTATGACTCTGATTTTTAGTTTTTTTCTGTCATTACACAGATTATTCTGCAAAGTAGTTCAAAGTATGTTTTTAGAACTAAATAAGGAAATCTGTTTCAAAAACAATGTGTATTAAGATACATAAAAAATAGAGAATTCAGTTTAACATACTCACCATTTAGTTAAGAAAAATCAATATCGTATTAGTTATATTGAAGGGAAAAAAATTTAAGAATATTTTTACTAAATATGTCAGTTTTAAAATAGTAAGGATACGACTAAATGATTCATATTACAAATTTGAAGCAAATGATCTTTTTAAAAGATCATGTAAGATAAATATAATCCTGATGCAAAATATATAATGAGTGTAATCGATTTAACATTTTATATGAGAGACATGTATAATAGATAATTAATAACTATATTTTAAATTTTCTTTTAATAATCCATATTAATTAAACATCTTAGCCAAAATGACAAATTAATTTATATAATTGCTTGTGATGGAACTATGATGTATGAAACAATTTAGTAATTTAAATACTAAATATTATGTCAATTTATTTAAGATTATAAAGGTGTTTTTTTTTTTTAATTTAGAATGTTAAGATTATAAACGCATTTAAAAATATTTATAGTATATACTTATTTTTTACAAACATTTAGTAGAGATTTAAACATCTATTACTATCTTATTCACGTGACAGTAAAATTCGCTTCTGGTTTCTACCTGTATAAAATATAAACTTATACCAACAATGTACCTAAATTAAACTTAAATAGATATAACATGCAAAAGTTCTCACTTGTAAATTCCAAATATAACTAAATGGAAAATAATGTTTTAGAGGAAACTAATCAAACTATTTTGTTTCACATTTTTTAATATGAAATACTGCTAGTAAATAACTGGCACATAAATATCACACTTTTTAAATCTGAAATACAGCTAATAAATAACCAAGCCTGGCACGTAAATATCACATTTTTTTAATATGAATGAAATAAAGCTAGTAAATAACCAAGCTTGGCACATGACTAATCAAGATAAATGTGACTCGTGAAAATAAAGACAATTTTAAAGATTTATTAACTATGTTTTCTTTTCTAAATATAAAATTATCAAATTATTAAATTTTAAAATAATGGCAACAAATTACAGTTCTCACAAAATTAAATTAAACATGATAATAAGGAAATTATCTTAAAAATCAAATTAAATATTGTTAACATCCTAAGATACATCAACTCAGGTATACTCTTCTCCTCACACTATAAAGTGATCATTGCAAGAAGAAAACAAGCATAACAAATAATAAAATACATAACATGATAAGATAGCTAAAAAAGAGTAAGTAGCTAAAAAATAGTTATAGATAACATATCATGCTTAAATTCATTTAACTTTTACATTGAATATAACTATAACGATCAAACATTCACACATGTATAATTAAAACTTCTAGACTCGATTTATTTGAATACATGCACTTGAGTAAAAATTGTGAAGTCATGCACCTGTGATGGTATATATTACTCTACCGAGCTACTCTACCGAGTTGTCACATACAAGGTTTTCACATGAGTATGAATGATTATCAGAGTTCAGAATATCTTAACAAAATAAAAAGTCATCCCCTTAAGGCACAACTTAGTGAAACACACATTCAATGGGATTTTCTCCCAAAAATTGTCCTATAGTTCCTTCATTCATACCTTTGTTTCACTTTACAAATCAAATATGACATCAAGATCACAATTGATATCATGAAGTTAAAGATAGCAACAAAGAAAAGATACATAACAGATGGCGCCCAACAACATCAGAGGTACACCCAGAGTTGAGGCTCGAGGGGATTGGCGCCCAGTGACAAAAGTTAGTGCCCAGCGACAAAACACCTGGAACACCTTTGGAAAAAAATTTAAAAATTAACGTCTAGTGATATAGAGTGACACCTAATGACAAATTTAGTGAGCTCAACAAGAATTGAGTCAAAGAACCACTATTAAAGTGACGTCTAACAATGTCATACTACACCCAACACCCTATAGCAAAAATGTTCCAGACATTGAAATTTTTAACTGGCACCCAATGCCTTCTTCTTTCGCTTAGTGCCATGACAAAAACCAAAAATTGAATGTGGATAATTTGGCTTCATCAATTGACTCTAATTGGTATATATACTATTTTCTTTAATTCAAACAAATGTAAACCAACATTTAACTATTTTCAATCAAGTCATTTTTTTCAATTTAGAATCCTCTTACTCAATTTCGATATCAAACCCCAATTCATCAAAAACTCATACATTTTGCACTCAATTAATAGATTATCACATCAATTTTCACATGTCAAACTAGATTAAGCAAAAATTGTATTGTTTAAATTCATTTTAACATTAGCATACAGTAACACAATTAGTCAAAACTCACAAATTTATAGACTAAGGCTAGCTTCCTTTACCTATTCAACTTTTCAACAAGCTTTAAGACACCAAAATTCCTTTCACACCATGATGCCTATCTACATATAGAAATATCACAAAGATGATCAAATCACATAATTGTGATCATTGATTAATAGAGAATCACATAGAATACTGAGAAGTCACATGCAAACCAAGAGTGGCCACATGCAGATAGAAAAAGATTTGGACTGAGAAAAGATGGAAAAATGTTTTACTCAAATGGAGAAACTGGTTGGATGGTTAGGAAGATTTTTCCACTAAGATTATTCTAGCGGTCTCAAATCTTTGAACAGTAAACAAAAGGTAAGACTACTTAGAGAGAAGTCAGATGACTTCAGAAAAATGGATTCTAGAAAGATAATATATTTTTAAGTAATGAAATTCGTTTATAATTTTTTTAATTTATACTTAAACATTTTAATATTAAAATAAATTTCACTATTTTAAAACATTATCAATTCTATAATATCATTTCATAAGTCCTTACAATAATCATATTAGCTTCATCACCTAACTAATAGAAAAATTTAATTACAAATATTTAATTAAAAATATAAATTTATTGAATATTCAAAAGATAAGCAAAATTTATTAGAGACTCAATTGAAAGTTTTCAAAGGTATGAGATACTTAAAACTTAATCAAATAAATTTTTTATTTTTAAAATATAAATTAAGTATGAATTTATCATTTTCCAACTTCAAATGAACATATTGTTTCTACTAAATGGTCTAAACAAAATCATGGCGCGTATGATTTTAAAGTATTATTACATAACATTAGATTTAATTATTTATTTGATAGTGACGTATATAAAATTTATCTTACAATCTTTACATTTAAAAATTGTCTATTTATTTCTTATGTAACATATTTGATTTCATTTAATTCCTATGAATTTCGAATATGGAGATTAATATATAGGTTCAAAATTATAAGTACTAATTTGCAATAGAAATAAATTAATAAAAAAATATTTGAATTTATAGTCATATGTGATAATCATATCACCAAGAGGATTATGTGATTGTCATGGATACAATTATATCCACATACATGGATGTAAGAGGTTGGGAGGCAATGAACATATTCTCTTTTTTAAATAGCTATTGTAAATGATTATATTGTTATCAACAATATTGTATAGATTTTGTGTGCAATGGAACACGTATAACTTTTACTAGTGTATAATTATTCATGTACTATATTATTCAGATTTATTTTGAAAATATGTATCTGAGAATTGTTCATATTATCTGTTATATAAGTATAAAAATGATTAAATTATTTCATTAATACATTTTATATGACAATGTGTAATTTTAACTAACATAAAAAGTAATATATATGGTTAAAACTATCGTTGTCATATCTATGACAGTTATTACTACAACTACAATAAAAAAATGGATATGGTTAGAACTACAGTTGTCATATCTACTGTAGTTATTACTACAATTGTCCTAGAAAGTGATCGGAAAACGTCATAATGACATATTTTAACAATTTTCCTATGTTGGGTTTTTGAAATTAATATGAAAATTGAATTTTCTATAATGGTCGTTCAAGTGACATAAAAAAGCTTTACTTTTTCTAAATGAATTATATTGTGTTAGTTACAATAATATAAAAAATATTTATTGCAACAGTGAATTGGGAATATATTTGACAATAATATATGAATTGCTATAAAATAGATGAAATTATTTATTTTATAGTACTAGGACCATGTGTAAAGATTAACTAATTCTTTGTTATTAGAAGTCATGAAATTGCCAAATGTGATCAACAACTAGTGAACTATAAGACTTGTAGAGTGATTGAATCAAGCCTACCATTAAAGACTATTTTTTATAAAGCACCAATATGGAATGAATGTATTATGAATACTCCAAACAAAAACAAATTAAATTAGGAAATATATGATTTTCTTTATGTAACATAGTATATAATAGAACTCTCATTTGAGTTTTCAACTATTTAACTTTTTTCTATAACTCTCATTTGACAATTAAACTTGGTCCAACTACATTAAATAA